GGCAGGGGCACTGAGGGCACAGAGGAGAGGCAGGGCTCACCCGACGGGCCCAGTTCACGAGGTCGTCCAGCTTGGCCACCACATACTCGCCCCGGCTGCTGGGAAGTGCGCTGGGTTTGGGGACCACGGCTCCGGCCTTGGACACAGCGGGCTGGGTGCTGGGCACAGAACACATAGTGCGGGGGGTCAGGCAGGCATCCCGACAGCCTCCAGCCCAGCAGCCTCTCGGGGGGCGGCCCCAAGCGGGGCCCGGGTCGGGGGGGGCAGGACGGGCCCGCTGGACGGAGGAATGACACCCGGCCTGGCTCCTGCGGCCCCGGCCGGCCTGTCCGTCTAGGAGCTGTCTCCCCATCTGGAACACGGGCACTCTGGGGACACAGTCTGTTGTCACTCGCCCCGACAACAGGGACTGAGCTGCATCACCCTCCGGGGAGGAGGGAGGGACCAGAAGTCACCACGGGCAGCTGCCGTGCCGAGGGGAGGCTTGAGGGCGTGTGGGCGCCCAGGAAGGCTGGCCTCACCTGCTGGCGCCGTCCGCGGCCGCGCTCAAACGGACACCTCGGACCTGCAGAGCACTGCCCGCGCCGGAGCTGTGGGGAGAGGGGGGCCCGAGCCGCTGTCACAGGGGCCACACCGAGGGGGAAACTGCACCCAGGGGCCGGATCTGGGCCTCTGCCTCTTTTTGTCAATAAAGTTCTATTGACACGCAACCACGTCCGCGCATTTCTGCATTTTCACAGCCCTTTTCACAAATGCAGAGCTGAGTGGTCTGCGCAGAGACAACCGGGGCCTTCGTGGAAAAAGTCTGCTGACCCCGGGCTACAAAGTGTCTAGTTTTCATTGTAGAATTCTCTCATTTTCCCTACTTTCCCCCTTAATTTTACACTGAGTGTGTATTTAATCCCCAGGAAAAAGTCCTTATCAAAACAGGACAAACTCTGCCCAAATCCGTGTGCTCCTCAAAGCCTCCCATCTGCCCTCCATTAGGAAGAGCCACTCCTTCGATCTGCCGTGTCCCTGGGCCCCTGGCGCCGGCCGTTCGCCTGCGGGGCTCCGTCCACCAAGGGGGCCCGGTGGCTGCCTGCCTCGCTGGCCTAGGGAGGCCTCCTCGAGGCTGCGAGCTGAGCAAATGCGCCAAACGCCTTCCTGCAACAGGCAGCTAGTGAGTTGCGAGGGAACCGGGCCAGGCAGACGCGAGTCGGACTGTCCCCAAGGGGCCTGAACCCCACCTGCCGCAGGACGCTGCCAGCCCCGGTGCTGCCGCACGCACTGTGTGACCTTCAGCAGCTGGGCCCCCTGCCAGATGCGGCCACAGGGCCCTCCCAGCCCTGAGGTGCTGATCCACCCCTCCCCCCCCAGCCGCTGAGCCCGCCCCCCTGAGGAGGGGACACGGGCACTCACCGCAGAGCAAGGAGCGGGCGCAGCAGGCCGGGAGCTGTGGAGAGAACCGTGGGGCGGAGACAGTGAGCTGCAGGCAGCAACACAGGCGGTGGTCCCAGGGCCTGGATTGGCTGGCAGGGTCCAGCCTCCAGGAGTTGACCCACGAGGCCCCCGCCTGGCATGTCCTTCCTCTTACCCTTGGTCTATCTAAATTCCACTTATCAAACGCTGGGTAGAGAGGTCTTTCAGGGTATGAACCAAACGGTGTCACCTCCCTGCTTAATACCCCAGACCCTGAAAGCAAAGCCAAACACAGCAGGGCTGTCCTCCCTTTCCTCAAGCATGTCAGTGTCGCTCCTGCCTCAGGGCCTTTGCACTTGCAGTTTCCACTGCCTGAGCACCCTGCCCCACACGTGCACTTGCCAGCGCTTCCCATGGGGCAGGCTCCAGGTCTACACCAGCCCCCAGGCTCGCTAACCCTGTCACCCTGCGGCATCTCCATCGACGTGTTGTGTGGTGCCTGTCCCTCCCAAGATGCTAGGGCCTCCTTGGGGCTCCTGGGGTCCTGTGACTTGGTGCATGACGAGTGTGCTGAGTAGACAAGTCCGCAGAAGCCGGAGAGGTTCCGGGCCTGGGGCTGGGGCCTCTGGGGTTTCAGAGGCTGGGCATGAGCACCAAGCTGACCGCCCAGGCCGGGAGTCCCCAGCGGGCTGCCTCTCTCTGTGCCTCGGTTTCCCCAGCTGGAAACTGCGGGCTCTGGACACGCTCACGGCACAGTGAACGCCCTTCCCTCCCGGGCGCCGCTCGGTCTGTCCGCTCCGCACCGGGGACACGCACGCACCGCCCGGACTGCGGAAACAGCCGCGACCACGGCCTCTCCGCGCAACTGCCTCCCTCCGCGGTGCTCTGAGCTCTGCTCCGTGCGTTCAACCCCTGAGCCGGCGGGCGGCGGTCCCGCAGCAGGACGGGCGGCCGCGGCCCCCGCGCCCTCCGCTCCCGGGACCCGGAGGGGCAGCCCCGCGGCGCTGACCCCCGGCCCGCGACCCACTCACCCGCCAGCGCCGCCATGTTGGCCTCGGCCTTCAAACAACCCCTGCGGTCCGTCCGCCTTAGCGCTCCGGGTCTCCAGGGCCGTCTCTCAAAACGGCCCGGCCGGGGCGCGGAAGCAAGGAGCCGGGCCTGGGGCGTTCCGCCCGCGCGGACTTCTCCTGACGCGCGGCCCCGGCCGCCCCACCCGGGCCGGGCTGACGCGACGTGGCGCGGGGAGCGTCCCGGCAAAAGCAGAGGCGTCGCTCGCCGTCTTCTTACCTCGCTCGCCGTCTTCTTACCTCAGGAACAAAAGTTCGGAGCCGCGTCCCTGGGTGGGCTCGAACCACCAACCTTTCGGTTAACAGCCGAACGCGCTAACCGATTGCGCCACAGAGACGGCGCTGCCGCCCGGCGCCCCGCGAGGCTTTAGGAGGCGCGTGCGGCCGGGGAGCGACACGCCGGCGGGAGCGGCGCGCGAGGACGCGGGCCGAGCGCGGCCCCTGCCGCCCGCCGAGATAGCTCAGCTGGGAGAGCGTTAGACTGAAGATCTAAAGGTCCCCGGTTCGATCCCGGGTCTCGGCAGCCGTTTTGGCGCCCCTGCGGAGGGGGAAGCCCCCAGTGCTGCGGGGGGGGGGGCTGCTTCCGGCCACCGCCGCCCCAGTGTCACCCCAGGCCAGCGTGGGAGGGACAGAACAGAACCCTCACAACCCCTGACCCGCCCCCCCAGACCACAATTCCATCCCATTTGGTCAAAACCCGCGAAACGGTTTGCGAAAACACTTGCCGCTTGCATGTCACTTAATTCCTAACGATCCTCCTGGGCTTGTGCACCTGGGGGCGCGGGCTCACACCCGCAAGCGCGGGGCGGGGCGGGGCAGGCCGGCCTCGGCCCCGCCCGGAGCCCCTGCGGGGCTGGTCGCGCGTGCGCGTGCCCGGCACAGCCGGCGGTCTCGCTCCAACGGGGAGCCGGAGCCGCGGCCCCTTCCTAGTTCCTTCCCCCTACGCGCCAGCCTGTGGCGCTGGATCTCTTTAAATTTATTTAAACAAACTTTGCATTTTAGAATAATTTGAGGCGCAGCAAAGTCGCTAAGATAGTAAGAGCTCCCGTGTAGCCACCCCGCCCCCGGGCCTTAGCACCTGCCGCAGTTCCTGAAGCAAAGTGGGTGCGGTGTCTGAGCCTTATCCAAACGTTGCTTTCCCGTAAGGTCCCTGCCCCGTGGGCGAGCCGAGCCGCCAGCCCCGCTGCCAGCCGACTGCGACCTCGTGAGTCCCCAGAGCCGCGGGCAGGCTGCCCTTGGAGTTCCAGTCCCCCCACTAGGGTCCGGGTAATCTGTTACTCAAGCCGGGAGGGGCAAAGGGGACGTCGGGCTGGTTGAGGGAGGGGAGAGGAGCCTCACGGAGGCCCCCCAAGGGCAGGGCGCTGGGGCAGCAGAGTCTGGAGCCGGGACAGGCGCATCGGGCAGGGAACTGAGTCCGGGACAGGGCCCCGCGGGGGTGGGCGGTTCTGAGCAGCTGTGCTTCCCTGAGGTTCGGCTTCTTCCCCTGCACATGAATTACTTTTGTTTTTTGTAAAGTGTATTTTGAGAGAGGGCAGGAGATGGAGGCTCCTGAGCCGGCTCCGTGCAGTCAGCCCAGAGCCCGACACAGGGCCCCAGTCAGTGAACCTTGGGACCAGGGCCTAAGCCAAAATCGAGGGTCAGATGCCTATCCGACTGAGCCGTCCCAGCACCCGCCATTTTTCTTTTTTTTTAAGATTTTATTCTTAATTGACCTCTACTAGGCCCGATGGGGGGCTCTAACCTACACACCGAGGTCATGGTTGCTTCACTACCTGAGCCAGCCAGGTACCAGCCCCCACCCCCAGCACCGAATTACTTCTTTAAACCGTTTTTTCCGTAAGCAGTGGACAAGTGTGCAAGCAGGTGCCGAGGTGTGTGCATCCCAGGAAGCCTCGATGCTGGCGTGCGGTGACCACAGGAAGGGGTGGCACCATTCCTTTGCACCTTTGGGCTGGGGACAGACCACGGCCAGGGTCTCGAAATGAACCTCCCCTCCGTGTACTTCCAGGTGCAGCCTCTGGTCAGCTTACGATAAATAATTCATTTGAGCACGGCTTTAACCAGCCACCGGATTCCCGGGACTGTGTGCGAGAACCGGCCAGGTGAAACTAAGTAAGGCCCTTTACGTGGCCGGTCGCCAAAGGTCAAGGTCTGGAGCCGGGGACACTTGGGCATCGGGGTGACAAGCCCTGCCCCCTGTGTGCCCAGGGCAGGCACAGGCCATGGTCTGCAGGAGCACTGTAGCCGCGCACACACGGATCTGGGCTGTGGTGGGCGTGACGGCACGGCCCTCGGACAGGTAGGCTGGTGCGGGGGCTGGTGCGGGCGAGACGTGCTCCGAGCCGCCGCGGGGCCGGGCTCGCACCACACGCACGCGACACACGGGGACCGAGTGGAAAAGAGGCCATCGTAAGACGTGTGTTCCGTGCGTTCTCGTGCACGGAGTCCCAGCGAGCGCTACAGCACAGGACCGCGGACTCGGGGCCCACCTGGGGACAGACACGGCTGAAGACACGGCTGAGCCAGACGCACTGGGCTTTGTTACAAGTCTTTAATACCGGATACAACGCTTTGTAACACAGAAAACAAATGTGCACCTCATATTAAACGCTACAGCATGGTCACGAATAATAACAGTAAGTAAAATAAAACGTTTGCTTTCAAAACCTTTTAGGAACTGTACCTTCCACAGACAGACAGGAGAACGGAAGCCACAGATGAGAAGTGCACACTCGGCCCCCGTCCTGCGGCCCCTCCCGTCAGCATCGCTGACTCCTTTCTTCCAGGAGCTTGTTATCGAACATTTCTTTTTCCCTTCAGAAAATAAAAGGAGATAACCTCGTGTTAGTCAACTCATCATGTTTTTTTTGTTTTTGGTTTTTTTTTTAGCATTTGTTTATTTTCGAGAGAGACAAAGAGTGAGCAGGGGAGGGCAGAGAGAGAGGGAGACACAGAATCCAAAGCAGGCTCCAGGCAGGAGCTGTGAGCACAGGGCCCAACGCGGGGCTCAAACCCAGGACCGTGAGCCGGAGCCTCACACTTAACCAACGGAGGCCCCCAGGTACCCCAGTAATTCATCGTGTTTTAATTTTTTTTTTTTTAATGTTTTTATTTATTTCTAGGAGAGAGAGAGAGACAGCGTGAGCAGGGGATGGTCAGAGAGAGAGGGAGTCATAGACTGAAACAGGCTCCAGGCTCTGATCTGGCAGTCAGCACAGAGCCCGACGCGGGGCCCGAACCCACGAACCGCGAGACCATGACCTAAGCGAAAGTCGGACGCTTAACCGACTAAGCCACCCAGGCGCCCCTCATCGTGTCTTAAAGAGTAGGAAAGAGTCCGTGTTTCATAGGGACAGAGTCTCAGTTTAGGGAGACAGAAAGTTCTGGAGACAGACGGCAGCATGGCTGCACAACAGTGTGAGTGTGTTTGACACCACTGAACTTGCACAGTTGAAGACGGTAAATTTTGTGTTCTGTGGATTTTATAATTAAAAAAAAAATAAACTGTTCACAGAAAGTGAGCCATCAACTTGTCCTTGTTAAGCAACTCCCTGGTAAAAGGAATGACATAAACCGAGGCCTGGCGTGCCACACTTGTCCGGGCAGCGACAGTGACAAAAATCAGACACAGATGGCACCCAGCAAAGCCCCCGCAAGTCCACGTGTGCTCACGGTTCCGGCGGAACAGGAGACCACCTTGTGGGGCAGAAGGGACAGTGGCCCCAAACTCGGTTAGAGGTCGCGTCCCTGGGGCCCATTATCGGCGCGGCCGATGGCATTTCCACGGTGCCCCTGATGTGCTCACAGCAGGTAAAGGCTGTCAGTACTCAAGACGCTGGCGACCCAGGGGACCCAGAGCAGCAGCAAAGCGTGAAAACGGAGCCGTCCTCACTGGCAGAGCGGTCAGTCCCTGAGGAGCGCTCTGCACCCGTGCGGCTCCCACTCTGCCATCTGGAGAACACTGTTCTCTGTGTGGGTGTGGAGGGCGCCACACTGGCCACTGAGATCCCGGAGCAGACATGCCAAGTTTCCCTGCTCCCAAAGGCCCTTCCTGTCGGGTTAGTGCAGCCAGCCAGACCAACCCTCCTGCGCGCGGAGCCACACTGGCTCTCCCGGGGATAGTGACGCGGGAGGCCTCCCCACCCACTGAGGCACGCACCGGGGATGACAGTCCTGGCCGTCTGGCATCCCGGGGCAGTGTGCCCGGCTGGCCCTGGACAGAGACCTCGGCCGGTGACTCTAGTTGAGTCTTCAGCCTGTCACTGCCACGCGGGCCCAGCCTGTTCCCAGCAAGGCCTGGCAGCAAGCCCAGAGACAGGATTAGGGGCTCTGGGGGCCAAAAATCCAAGGGCGATGAACTATGCTGACGGAAGAGAAACATCTTGATCACCGCATTCTTCTGACCGGCCAGGAACGGGCCAGGGCGGCTGCCACCACCTAATCCTACTGTTTCCTCAACGGCCACGGCGTCGGGGTGAGGGGGACAAAGTTCGAAATGCAAACATGAGCGACTGCAAAACACGATTAGGCACAGCAAGGCCGGCACGCGTCCAGGGCGCGGGCCTGGGCTTGCGCCCAGATCTGCCCTGCCCAGGGCCCCCGCCCAGAGTCTCCAGAGGGGAACGTCCGTCCACTGCTGGCTTCGCTGGGTCCCCCCTTCCAGCAACTCCTGGCCAAGCACTAACGTGCATTTCGAATGTTTGCAATTCATTCCCTGGCTGGGCACCTGGGCCAGTGCGTCAGGAAGAGGGCCTGGGGTTACAGCCGCCAGCGCCAGCCGACATGAGCCCTCCCAGACTCGCTGCCGCTGGTCGGGCGCGGCACCCAGAGCAGCCTACCGGTAGCTGAGCGAAGGTCCTCGGAGGTACTTCGCCTCGGCTGTCTCGTAATCCACGGCATCCACTGCAGCGATCGCACAGATGATGGCCTGCAAGACGGTGGGGGATGCTCAGCCTCGGGTTGGGGGCCCGCGCCGCACACGGGGCTGGGGGGGATGTGCTGGGGCCCGGGACAGCTTTGGACCAGCCTCCACAAATGTGCACGGAACCCGTGAAATCTCTGCTTGTGGGGAAACTCCTGAATGACATCAGTTAACACCATCTTGGGGACGAGGGACGAGAGCTCATGTCACCAGCAGTGGAGAATGGAAGGCGGGATCCAAAGCAACTTGCGTGTTTTTGAGTCCATAAGCTACCCGGGCACACAGTGGAGAACTACGACAGTGACATTCTGAGCACGCGGTATGCCTGACGCTGAGGAGTCCTTCCTCCTTTCGGTAGGTGACATAACGGAATTGTGGTCATGTAAGAAAGTGTTTTCAAAGAGCCCGTGCGGGGCACCCAGCAGGCTCGGTCCGTGAAGCCTGCGACTCCCCTGCCGGGTCCCGAGTGGCGGCCACCATTGGGCACAGACACTACTTGAAAATACAATCTTTAGGGGCGCTGGGGTGGCTCAGTCGGTTGAGGATACGACTTTGGCTCAGATCATGATCTCACGGTTCATGATGTCAAACCCCGCATCGGGCTCAGTGCTGTCAGCACAGACCCCAGCCTCGATTTTCTGTCCCCCACGCTCTGCCCCTCCCCTGCTAACGCTCTCCTAAAAATGAGCATTTAAAACCTTTATAGGTACCCCCCAACCCCTCTCCACCCGGGCGCTGCTGGCATCAGAGCAGCTTACTCTTGGGGTGTCCCAAGCACTGTGGGGGTTCAGCGGCCTCCCAGCAGGAGCCCCCTCGGTGGGAACCACAGCTGTCCCCACATGGGGACCAGTGTCCCTAGGGCAGAACCACGCTGAGAGACACACACGGAAGCACTTAAGGATCAAGAACTGGGGATCCCCCCGCAATCGCCTGAGAGGAGACAGCTAGTCGTACAAGTGGGGAGAGGCCGCTACTCCAACCGGGGGCTGCGCACGTGGCTGCAGCCGCTTTCTCACTTTGGTACAGATTTGAAAGCTTCCAGTTTGTACAAAGTTACAGATCTTTGAGTCTGATAGTTTCCCACACAGCCCCAACCTTCTAGATAACCGGCGGGTCCCGAGTGCTCCTGCCCATCGCACCGCGGGTGCGGTGGGTGCCGGGTGGAGAACGACCACTCCCTCTCCGCAGGCGGCTTCCATCCAGGAACAGGCCCCGCAGGCACACGCACACGCGGACAAAGCCCTCGGCTCTTGCCCCCGGGCACCCGCCCCGACCATGAAGCTTAACCCCCCCCCCCCCCAGAGCTTAACCCCCGAGGCTGTGTCACACCGCCAGCCAGCGGAACAGGCCGCAGAGCGGGTGCCTGGCTCCACGCTGCAATGCCCCCCCACCCCACTCTGTGCCCGGGCCCCGGCTCCTGGGCAAAGCTGGGTGGGGCCCTCTCCCGGCCCCGGCTGCTGCCCCCACCCCCCGCGGCCACTCACTTCAGGCAGAAGGACGTCCAGGATGAAGCGGATCCTGTCGCCATTCACCCGCGCCAGCGCCCTGCTGCCCGTCTCCTGGTAGACCCCCTGGAGGTACTTCACCACCACGTCCAGCTGTTCCTCATCTTCCAGGTACGTCTCCACACAGGTCATGTACTGGCCTGAGTGCAGGAACGTCGTCAGCCACCGTGACGGCTTCCTGTTCCTCAGGATGGCCCGTAGGTGGCCCTCGGCGCCCCTCGCCTTCACGATGTACTCCACCAGCTTCTGGTTGGCTCGGTCCCGGGCAGCCCGCGAGCGGTCAGGCAGCACTTTCCTGCATGGCCGCCTCCTTCCCTGGGGGGTCCCCGTCACAGGTTCCTCGGGGTCCCCCTTGGTTAGCTGGGGAAACCTGGTCCCCAACACATCCTGCTGGATGGACTTGCGGACGGGGTAACCTGTGGAGCACCGACATGTCCTGGGGCCGCCGGCCTTGCTGGGAGAACTCCCCGCCTCCTCCCCTCACTAGGTGTGTGCCTGAGGCTGTTGGGGGTGAGGTGCCGAGCCCCCCAGGACACGGGGGTGGGCCCAAGGCAACACACACAAAGCTGCCTCCTCTGACGGGACCCCGCATCTCTCCCCAGCTCAGCCCAATCCACGTGTGGCCCAAATGAGCGGAGTCCCTGGGTCCCCCAAGGAAGCACGGACTCCTCCCGCCCCACTGTAACAGCCGGGACAATGGGCTGCAGTGTAACCATCAGTTAACCAGAAACTCGGGCAACAGGGAAGGCAGGCGCAGAGCGGCACCAGTCACACTTAAGAGGAGAGGCCCGAGTGCCCAGCGCACAGGGGGCAGGAGGCACGGGCAAAGTCTGCCCCTGGAAATCTAGGCTCAGGCTCGGGATACAGCCTGGCCTCCGTCTAGACACCCCCTGAACTTCAGACACAGAAGGCGGCCGCCCTGCACCCCTGCAGAGGAGCCGGCGCACTTACTTATGTCGGCCGCGTAATACTCCAGGAAAGAGCCAGCAAAAGAGCCGCAGCCTGCAGAGGAGGTGGGGGCGCCCGGTCACCACCAGGGGAGGCTCTGGAGACGCCGCCCGCCCAGCGTCAGCACCACCCAGGCTGCCTCCAGAGACGGCTGACGGGACAACGCGGCCGTCAGGGTGCCGCCTCGTGGCCCAGCAGGACCTGGGGCAGACGGAAACCACTCTCCACCTCTGGTTCACACCCAGCAGCTCGGCCTTCGCTGTTTTGGGGACAAGACTGCCCTGGGCCCAGGCAGTGTGCCCAGGGTAGGCAGAGGCCTGCGTGCTGTCCCCCATGCCGTCCCCCACCCAAGGGCGTGCGGGCCCACGTACCAAGCCGGACCCTGTAGTCCGTGATGAGGGAGACGCACCAGCCGATGGCCTGGTCGAAGTCCTCCTTGGCTTCGTTCTGCAATGACAAGGCCCAGATGGAGACGTCAGCGGGAGGCCGTGGGGGCTCTCCCACCATCTCCACGTGCCTGGCTCCAGTGTCGGGTCAGTAGAGCCGGTGGGGGAGGCGGGGGCAGGTGATGCACATGGACGCCGAGGTCTGGGGCCGGAGCCACTCAGAAAGGGGTCCGCATGTGAGCTGAGCACTTTGGGGCTAAAGACCGGGGACCATATGAGAAGAAGGCGAACGCCCCCGCGTGTAGCTGATGTCGCCCTCACATGGACAAGGCTTGGAAGTCACACAACAGAAACACTTCTAAGTCGACTGTGTCCTCTGCTGGGACCTGTGCCGGGTCAGTCGGGAGACGTGCCGCCCTAGGAGCACACCCGGCCACCACGGGGGCCTGCCTAGGCCTCGAGATCCTCACCGCAAACGGAGGACCTCTGAGCCAGGATGAGGACCCGCCACCTCCACCCGGCCTCCTCCCATGGGATCGGGGGGGGGGGGGCGCCTCTGGGCCCAGCAGGGATTGCTGACTGGCACCGGGGATGGCGGGCTGTGTGGCCCCTCACTTGGGGAAGCACAGGGCAAAGCCACGGCCATCACCCCAGGACCCGAACGGTGCACACAGCTCCAGGAGGTGGTGCTCCTCCCAATGGAAGGGCCTCTCGGGGACCCCGTGCCCACCCCCCCTAACAGAAGAGCCTAGCTTTTCTCGGACAGCAGGAAAACAGGGACAGGCACCATCCCAGCGTCTGATTACATGAGACCACGCGCCATCTTTGTCACAAAACGCACTCTTCACGTGGTTACAGCACACAGACCTCCAGACTCCCGCCCTCCTTTCCAACCCCTCCGCTCCGGGAAAGGTGCCTGGAGCCCTGACGTGGGCTGTGGGCTCGTGCTTCAGGGGATGTGGGAGCTCCTGAGGCCACAGCTGGCCTGTTAGAGGGCCCCGACGCACACCCTGATGGGGACGGGGCGCCCAGCAAGGGCCACCACTCCAAGACCGAAGTGAGCTCACAGCAGACGGGGTGGACACGGGGCCACCGCGCAGGCGCAGACAGGTCAGCAGGAGGAGAAGGCCGGGACCCGGTGGGGTGTCACCCCCAGACGCTGCCACACCGCAGCCTGTGCCTGCCATCCTCAGAGCCACACGGCCCCCAGGGGGCCTCCAGCCTCCCGGTCCCAGGCCGTCCCCACAAATAGCAGGGACAAGCCGCTGCCCCCACAGGAGGCTTCACTGTGACCTGAAACCCAGGACCCCGCTCCCTAGGCTGGGAGGAGAAGGGCACTGGAGGGAGGCTGATGGGCCTTTCCCCTGGCCGGCTTTGTGTTTTGAAAGCCAGCGTCTCACAATCGAAAAAACGACGTGTTCAATGGACACGTGACTCGCAGGCTCGGGGTACAATTGAGCTGATGACAGCGTTTCGGGGTGTCAGCCACTGGAAAGCCCAGGAAGCCCCTGTGGGGGGGGCCATGGTGGCCTGGCGCAAGGATGGCCTCCGAACGACAGCCCGCAGGAGGGGCCGGCCTCGCACCTGGGCGAGCTGTCCTCCGCGCCAAAGCCTCACCTGTACGATGAGGGGACGGCCGGCAACCTCCCCGGGGGACTGTGGTCCCCGCCAGGCACGGCCCTGTGGACCGAGGTCACGCGAGGGGTGCAGCTACCCGCCGCTGAGGGAGCCGCTCACGGAAGCATCAATGGTCCACCTACCAGAAGCGCTTGCTTCTCTTTGCAGTCGAAGTGCTTCAACCTCCGGAGGGACACCGTGATGCTGGGAGCAGACAGGCAGAGCTCAGCGCCAGAGCCGCGCCTCCCGCCACGAGAAAACGCCCCCCCCCCCGCCCCGCTGCTGAACCCAGTCGGGGCTGCGGGGTGCCTCTGCCAGCGCCGGCTTCCTGATCCAAGGCCACCACACCCCCCGGCTGCCCGGGGAAGCCCCTCAGAGACAGGCCTGGCGGGAGACTGGCAGAGCCCGAGGGGACCCCGAGGGGACGTGGCTGAGGCTGCCCGCGGGGGGTGGAGGCAGCACCCCAGGGCCAGGGGGCCAGAGGCCAGCTCTACGCATTCGCCTCCAAAATGTGCTTCCAAAGCGTCCCTCTAGCAGAAGGGGACGTTCGCGTGCATTTCCATCCCTGGACTGAGACCCCGTAGAGGGTGACCAGACAACCAGGCAAATGGCAAAACCCGGGGAGGCAGGTGGCGGCTCACACAACTTGAAGTGGCCGGATCACGGTACAGTTTGGAGAACGAGTACAATCCAAGGGCCGTCTGGGCCTTGTTTCCAAGCTGGCAGATAGAGCTCGGACACCCGGGCTGCCTGACCGGCCTCTCTGACAGCCTTTGTCTGGATTCTTCCTCCAGGAGCTGGATTGCAACCCCCCCCCCCGCCCCCGCCCCCACCCCCACCAGTGCCCCCGAGCTGGCGGGCCTTCACCCGGGAAGCTTTTGCAGAGAGCAGACAGCTGCGTTACCCTCTCCCTTTGGGGTCCATGTGCCCCTCGATGAAGAGCACGCTGGCTTTCTTCTCTCTTCGCCGGACGCTCTTGACCTGTTGGCAAACCCAAGAAGATAAAGAAAACGTCAAGAACCCAGGAGAGGCCGTGGGTCTGAAACAGCCTCCGCATCAGTTACACTGTGCAGGACAGGCGTGAGCGGCGTGTGGCCAGGAGCCCGGGGCTGGGGGACGAAGGCAGGGTCCTTGGGGAAGGCGCCCGGATGCCGGCCCGACTGCTGCTCGCGCTGCCTGTGCTCACGGCGGGGCGGGACTGAACGGGCTGCGCTTTCCTTCCTTTCGTGACAGAGAGCGAAGCCCACTGCTGCCGACCACCCCGCGTGTGACATGAGACCCTCCCCTGCCTTAGCAGGGCACGCTCATCCTCATCTTCAGGAGAAACGTGAGTGGAGGGAATGGGGACCAGCCGAGGACACAGGGAAGCAGGGTGCCCGACCCCTGGCCCCTGGCTCTGCTTGCGCATGTGCTCATGCTGCACTTCTACACGCAGGGGAGCCGCACCTGCTGTCACTGCCGGTCGGCCCCACCTGTGGAGGCCACGCCAACCTACGGGAGGCCAGCCTCCCGCAACAGAAGCGTCTCCCAACTCTCACAAACACTCTTCTTATTTGTCACTGTCTCTGCCCACAAGTTTAAAGCACTACAGCTAGCATCAGAGTCCCATCTACACCGCAGGGACACAGAGAATACAGGATGGAGGGGAAAGAACCAGGATGTTGCCTCCACCCAGAAAGTGCACTGACAGTCCACAGCACACGGGTGCAGAGAAAGCCCGGAGCTCGCTGCGCCTAGCCCCTGCAAAACCTCAACCCTCTTGATGCTCCTGGTTGGGGGGGGCGATGGAAGAAATGGTCTCAAGTGCATGTCAGAAACAAGCAAACCACAGGCCTCCTTTCAGGCAGGTTTCCCTGAGCCTGCCCGGCAGAGATCGGCCCCAGGACCCTCACACGCAACTGCGCCCAAACGATTAAACTCCCCTTACACAGGAAAATGTCTCCAGAAACCTTGCTTGTAATTATAAGCCCATCGAGTTCTCCCAGGAAAAATATCTGCCGGGGTCCAAACGACCAGAGCGGAGAGTGAGCGGGCAAAAGGGCAGGGGTTGCTGCGGCGCCCCGAGCCCGCCCCTGCTCACCACTGCCGGCCAGAAGGGGTATTTCTGGTGTTTCAGCCAGACGAGCATTCCGACTTCAAACGAACGTGGCTCTAGGATTAAAAAGAAACAAAGACAAAAAGGATGTTAATCAGTTCCCAGTCATGCACCAAATTCAACAACTTATGAGAAAACAATTGCTAGGGCTTCGCTTAAATCTGATGGGCGCTAGCTCTGATCAGAGTGCCCAGACGCTTGGAGGCCATTTCCCAACAGTGCTGGCATCCAGGGCCGGCCGTGCGCACACCCCGTGGTCACGAGCTAGTTTCTTCACAGGACAACGTGCCCTGGTCACACAGGTGGTGACCGGGGAGACGCTGGTAGCTGGGGACTCTGTACCACCTTCACCACTTCTCTGTCTCAGATTCTTCCAAAATAGAACATTTTTTATAAAGTATAGCACAGGGGTACCTGGATGGCTCAGTCAGTTGAGCGTCTGACCTTGGCTCAGGTCATGATCTCACGGTTCGTGAGTTGAAGTCCCACGTCAGGCTCAGTGCTGACAGCTCAGAGCCTGGAGCTGCTTCCGATTCTGTGTCTCCCTTTCTCCCTGCCCCTCCCTCTCAAAAATTAAAAAGTTTAGAAAAAAATTATAGTATAGTACAGAAACCCCAACGTGAAAAGCAAATTCCTAGCAAGCCCACTGGTCTGAAAACCTAGGCTCTTAAAAGGCCAAAAAAAAAAAAAAAAAAGAATTACCGAAACCGTCATTAAGTAACTCCATATTAATAAACCAAACTTATTAAGATTTCCAACCCCCTGTGACCAAACCATAGTGCGGATCCACGACTGGAGCGCTGCCCTTCCCCGCGGAGCCACCTCAGTGACCAGGGCAGAAGGTCCACGGACGGGCAGACGGCTGGCAGCCATATGCTGAGAAGCGCTCAGCCTGTAAGCGAACCGTCAGGGCCCCGGGAGGACAAAGAGGTCCCGGGAAACAGCAAGACAGACGTCAGGCTGCCGGGGGATGGGGACAAGACCAAATCAGACGGAAGCACAAAGCAGGGCCGAGAACGAACACCGCGGTCTCTCTAGCTGCGGGAACCCCCCACCGGCAGCGGCTGAGAGGGAGACGCCCCAGAGGAGGCAGGCACAGTGTCCTTCTCTGGCGGTGGCTTCCGCTCTGCTCCCAGAAGCCCAGCCTGCAGTTCCCTCCCAGAGGTCCGTGCCCCACAGGCAGCAGCCGTGGTGGAACCCACCGTTGAGATAACTGATGGCGGGGGGAGGGCTCAGTACGTAACAACTCGTTGAGGGAAGAGTCCTAGGAAGACCATGTGGAAATGTAAACCATGTCCAGTTACCAAGTCACAAAAAAGAAACCACAGGGACCCAGGGCAGCATGGTGCCGTCTGGTGGAAAAGAGCCAAGTCACAAGAGCGCATCCTGTGCAGCGGCCTCCCAAGGTCCGGGGGTGGGGGGGCCTTGGAGGACAAGCCGCACTTCCAGGTACTATTTCTGCGACATCTGTGAACCCGTTAATTTTTGCACACGACAAAAAAGCTAAAAACTACCGGCTACGTTAGAACAGACAGGTCCGGGGCAAGTCTAAACCCAAAACCCGTTCTCAGTGATTTACTCCAGGGAACACACTAACGTCCCGCGGGTGTCGGTTCAGGATTCTGGCTCCGCGTCTCCGGCTCTTCCACAGGGGCCCAGGGCACCCCCTGTGCGCGGTCTGCCGGGGCCCATAGCGTGGGGGGGGGGGCCCTGGGGCTCCGCTGCCTCTCTGGACACGCATGCAAAGGCCATCCCCAAGGGTCCGCAGGTGGCGCTGGGCCGCCCCCGAACAGTGGCGACAGAGCCGTCTCTCCACTTGGCTGTCCCTCCTTCCCACGGAGAGGACAGGGCGACACATAAAGGGAGCAGCGAGTTGGCAGGGAGGGCCGCCCGTCTCCTCCCGGGGAGTCTCTCTCCCCTTTGTGTGCTTATCCTCAAGACAGAGCGGGGGGGATGCGCCGCCTCTGAGGCTGTCAGTGAGGCAGGAGAACAATTAAACGGCCAGAGAGGCCAGGCTGGGCCGTGGGCCTTACCGTGATACAGCAGGATTCGGGGGGGCTCCTCGTCGTCCTCATCCTCCTCCAGGACGGAAGGAACGGGCTCGAACTCCACAGACTCTCCCGAAGACCGACGGTCTGCCAACGAGGTCAGATTAGACTTTCGTCCTTACCACCCCAGAGACTCAATCCCAAGAAAAACGTGTCGTGATACGTGACCGTAAGTGCAAAAATAAAAGGTCCCGTGTTCACACTGCCAAACAGAGTTCCCTTTGACTAACGTATGTTTAAAAAAAAAACAAGCGGGGGGGGGGGCAGGGAAGGGAGCAGGAGACAGGCGGAGAGAGCGAGGGAGGGGGGGACAGGGCTCTCGAGTCTCCGTGAAAGGCCAGCACACAAAGCGGCGATCTGGGTCCCGGCAAGGGACACAAGCAGGGGCGGGGAGGACACAGGATGGAGGCCCCTGAGGTGCTGAACCACGGACACGCGAACGGGTGTGTCAGCGTCCCAGACGGGGAGCACCGCAACAGGACAGGAGGGGCCGCGGTGCGTGACTGCAGGCGCAGGCGCAGGAATTCCTGAAAAGTCGGGAGCCCGGGGCACCGTGGTGGCCCCGTCGGTTGAGCGTCCGACCTCTGCTCACGTCATAATCTGACAATTCGTGGGTTCCACCCCCAAGTCGGGCTCGGTGCTGTCAGTACAGACCCTCCGTGGGATTCTGTGTCTCCCTCTCTTTCTGCCCTTTGCCTGCTCTCTTTCTCCCTAAAATAAATAAGTGTTAAAAAAAAAAAAAAAGGTCGGGAGCCTTCCGAGCGAGGGGATCACTTCTGAGCCTCCCGCCCGTCCGGCGGGAGTGCGTTAGCTTCGCAGGTCTGAGCACCGGGGCGTGTTCCTCAGGCACAGGCGCGGCCTCCAGCGCCCTCCCCTCTAGCTCAGAACAAAACCGAAGGCACAAGAAGCTGGGGGAACTGGGCTCATCACAACCCGGTGGGAACAACCGCCAAAAAGGAACCAGGGAATCCCTGCCCCGCGTCCGTTCTGATCGGCTCCCGTGAGGCCCTGGTGAGAAACACACCAGAGGCAGGCCACACGTGCGCCGGGAGAACCCCAACCCGCCCGCTGCCGGCATGAGGCCATTTGCGGCCACAGACCTTTGGCTTCCTTCACCAGGACTCGAAGATCTCCGATGTCCTCCGTGGGCGCAGGCAGGCGGAGTCTGGCAGCGCTGCGCAGGGTCATGCGTTTCCCGAGCCCCTGCCTGGGGGACACCACTGCCCCAGGCTTCAGTCGCGTGGTGGGTGGCCTCCGGCCACCATCAGGGCACAGCCGCTTGGCAGAGTGGCCTTGGGCATCCAGGCAGGCTGGGGGTAGAGCGGGGCCACGCAGACGCAAACTGGGTTCTCGTCCTTTGGCCCACAGACCCTCCTCCTTCACTCTGGGCGGGGAGCCAGGGGCTCGAGGGCTGCTTTTCTCGTCGTCTCCCCGTGAGAGCAGAGGCGCCCTCTGACCCCTGCTGGGCTCCCGGGCTGAACCTCTCCGCCTTTTACCGGGGGTCGTCCAACTCGCACAGCACATTCTGGACCCACCCCCGTCCTGAGAACCACCAATGGCTGGCGGGGCTACCAAGGCCCGTGGGCTTCTGCTTTTTCCGAGTAACTTCTTGTGGTCCGCTTTGCACTTGGGGTCTTTTTTACAAGCGGGGGAACCTGATAGCCTCGGGTGGACACGTTCCCTCCTCTCAGGTCCAGATCTGCTCGGCACAGCCTCCTGGAGGCAAGGAGAGCCAGGGTCACAGAGCAAGGAGGCCAGTTCCGTGGGCTTCTCTCGTGAACACAGAGCGGTTCTTTCTTCCCGTGAAAGGCTTTCTTGAGGCAGAGCAGCGCTCTCGCTCAGGACGTCCAGAGCCACCCGCAGCGAGCGTCTGTAGGCCAGCTCCTCTAGGGGTTCAGCAGGAGCCTCGTTCTGGGAGGCTGCAAGAATGGGAAGCAGACAAAGCCTGGTGACGACTGAGCACGGCCACCGGCCACGTAAGGTCACACAAGGTCCTCGGTGGCTTTCACACCTGAAGAGAGGTCTGCCCCTCCTCAGCCCAAAGGGGGCCAAGGACACAAAACAACATTGTTCAGGGCCACTGGGGCTCTGCTTTTCCAAAAAAAAAAAAAAAACCTGACTGGGTTACAAAGACAAATCCCTCCAAGTTACCAAACAATACAGCCAGCAAGCCCAGCAAAACCAATGTACTCACACCCTTCCCAAATCGGCTCAGCCTCACAACTGCAAATTCCATCAGGATCAAGAAAAACCCTTGCCAACTCCATAAGGAACTCGGCCAGCCGGCACCGTATTCTTGGGAGTGAGGGCCAGCCCGTGAAAGGGACCCATCGTGGGCTGGTAGGTTTTCCATACTTCTTTGCAAGGGCAAAAAAGAGCAGCAAGCCAGCAAAGAGCAGCATGAGACTTGAGATTTCAGCCTGGCCTCCCGGCTGCAGTAGTTTTAGTTATTTATTCCAACACACAGACCCAGACCACTTATCTGAACGGGATGATGGACGCAATATCACAACTCAGCGGGCGCAACACTTATCGTCACAGTATTTTCTCCGTTTAATATTAAAAGCTCCTACAGATAACCGGTCCCTAACACGATCTGAACAAATGATGATGAGTGACTGGGAGGTGACGGCCAGCGCTGCCTAAGATATGCCCGGTGGACGCTGCTTTGAACAAAAGCTGTTTTTCCAAAGACACAGAAAAATAGACCCAATTTCATAAACACCCCTGAGAGGACCCCCAGTCAGTCCTTCCACAGGACAAACAGCTCCAGGTACAAGAGTGCGCGGCCCCCTCCCAAGGCGACAGAAACCACTTCTGCTTGGTCTGCAGAGCCGCCACCAAGGAGGCAGGCAATCGGCCCCAGTGCCACAAGGCTCGGGAGCCCCCACCTAGGAGAGGCGAGGGGGGTGTCGGCCTCCCATCTCCGACCGGCCTCGCCCCCACCCAAGAGGGCACCGGCACACAACGTGTCCAACGGGGAAGCTGGTCACAGAGCCCTCTCTCCCTGGAACGCAGCCGTGGGGTCTAAATATGCAACCCGCTGCTCTCAAGCCCCAGGCAGAGAAATAACCAGCGCCAAGAGCATTTCTGCAATCTTCCTATGGGCTGGGGGCAGGGGAGGAGAAAGCACACGTCTCCCCCATCCCCCCACCCCCAAAGAGGCAAATGCGCTGTGTCTCGTTCTCCTGTGCGCCAGCGGCTGTGGACGTGACCCGGCTCACAGCTGGCCGCGCCGGGAGTTAAGAACAGGATCGGTTCCAGGGTAGGTTCTGGAAGAGTTTAAGTACATCTGTTTTATTCTCCTCCTTCAGCTAAGGGTTTCCCGGAAAGCAGGGTCTTTCCGTTCTCCCACACTGTCCCTCTGTCCCTTACAGACGTGCTCTTACCCAATGCGGAAGCAATTCGTTCGATGTGAGCCGTCGTCAGGGTCTCCGCTTCTGTGCTCTTCACCTCGATTCTGCAGGGACAGAAGCGCCCGTTATCCGCGACCAGCCAAGGCCACAACGACATTTTCAAACATGTTTTTCTTTAGACGACAAAGGATTGAGATTCATTTTCTTCCTTCTCAACCTTCCCCTTAAACCAAAAGTCGCAGCCAACTAGGAATTCATGTGCCTGAGGTTAGAGGCAATAAGGATCCTGGTGAATGAGGTCTTTTTGCTTTTTTCCCTTTTAAGACAGAAAAGGTCGGCTGGATTTAAGAGTGAAAATGAATTCAAGTTGTGACTTTTAGGAGGCAAATCCTACTTTCAACTACACAAATAACTCCTTTGTTAGATTTTTCAGAGTAGAAGATAATGTCACTAAAAGCTGTTTACAGCCCAGCAAGTGTGTTTTAGTTTAAAAGGATGAGCTTTCCTTTTAAACTGGAGTATTCAATTACCTTCCCAGCCGCAGGGAAAGTGTGAGCTGGGGACTAAGCAAGCTTAGGAGGCGACTCTGAAGAGGCCAGGGGACCTGGGGAAGCTGTAACCAGAGCGGACGAGGTTTTATTCTCTTTGAATTGGGAATTCTTCCATCAGACACAGCAATACCACAATCCTACGTGACCTGGGTGTTTTAATCATTCTGGGCAATATTTTGTTCTTCCATCACCGGATAACGAAGAGAAGAGTAACACTGCCGCATAGCTGCGTATTTGCCATCTGAATGCTAAATAATAGCCTCTTGTCAGACGGACGGGCTGAAATAGCACACACTTCAAAACTGACAGGCCTGTCACGTAAGTTTCTGAGAAAAAGACACGCAAGTCTGTGGGAAGGAAATATCTGCGTGTGAACCCCAGCAAGAGCTTCCCCTGTGTATTCTTTTATTGTTTTTCTACTGCTCTCTTCCACACAGAACACCTGGTATCAATCTTCCATTTCCAAAAGGACACACACACCAAATCAGTGTTTGCCTCTTAAGAGTATTGTGCTCACAACTAAAGAATAAGCGCTTAGAGTTTACTACGCTTTGGGAGGGGGAAGATACAGTATAAGAAATCCCATTCAAGAAAAAAAAACAGTAAAAAAAAACCCACAACACTTAACTTTTCATCTAGAGAGAGTATTTGAACACTTAGAAAAAATTCCTTTTTTCTCTTATTTTTTGTTGACATCTCCGTTCTGGCCAAAACCTACATTAAAAAAACAAAGCAAAAAACAAACAAACAAAAAAAAAAGCAAAACCCTTGTTACTAAGACACAACAAACAGGTGACACAAAGAAGCACTGGGCAGCGAGCCCGTAATTCTTAAAGTATGCAACCACCCCAGGGCCTCAGCAAACGCATGGCTAATCCTGCCCCTTTACAGATGGGGAAACTGAGGCCTGCGAGGTCAGTGGCAGGGACAGGCAGGCAGCAGGGTGGCTGCCCGCAGCTGAGGCCTCTCCCCATCACGTTGCTAGAAAGTCCCCCCAGGGCACTCCGGTTATTTATTATCACAGGGCTCCCTTCCAGATATTTCCTGGAATTACATACTGCCTTACATGCCTTTTTAAAGCGGAGTCTGTTAATTTTCCTTATGTGCAGGAAAAAAAAGACACTTCTGGAAGTGTAACCTTGTAAGCACCAGACCGGAACCCCATTAACTGGGGAATGAGGATCAGTGCCAAGAGATCCGAGCGCCAACTGCTTGGGCTCAATTATTTCACCGAAAGAGCTCCGAGCTGCCTCCTGATAAAGATTTTACTTGTCACCCAAAAGTCATTTCTAATTCCTGAAATTACGGCACAACGGCTGTCACCTTTGCAGGCCATAATCGCTTTTCCCATCTGCAGAGGACATACTTGGCATCCGTCATGATTTGGACTCATGTGGCAGGTGGTAATGATTTGGCACAAAGTACTTGAAGGTCTGACGAGATGTGCCCCTGCAACAAAATTTGCACAGCCGTTCAGAAAGGCGATCGCTTTCCACGTTAGCACAGACGCGACCCTCAAGGGCAAGGGTCACTGGGGCTTCTCCGAGAGGAAGCGGGGTCAGTTCTGCAATCCTGCACGGAGATGCTCACCGTTAAGAAGACAAGACTGGCCTGGGTCCCTAGGGAGGCGCCTGCAATTCTCTTAGAAATAAACCGCAGCCGCCGCCCGCCGCCCCCCGCCCCCGGGGCCGTGGCTCGTGTCTAGGAGGCTCCGAGCAACTCTCGGGTGCGCTGAAGGCCTGCCTCCCACCTTCGCAGGAAAGCGATTGAAAACAAAGCTTTCGACCCTCCCCCGTCCGGGTAGTGAACAGTTGCCGCCAGTTGCAAAAAAATAAAACGGGAGGAAGCGACTGCTCCTTCGCCTGCTCTGGCCCTGGAAGGACGGGGACAGCTGCGGGCCGCTCGTCACCTCAGGGGACACATGGGCCTGGCTGCGGACGGAGAGCAGAGGGGGGCTCACTCGCGCACAGAGGGGCGCAGGCGGCGGGTGAGGGCGGCTGCAGACGGGGTTCCGGGAAGGGACGAGGGACGTACGCAGCCGATGCGGGGCCGCGGTGTACAGAGGAAGGAGCGAACGCGGCGGGGACCCGCTCAAAGCCCCGGGGGCCTCCTTTTGGGGTTCGCCCCTCCCCCCAGGCTCGGCCCGGCCGCCTCAGCCCCTGCCAGCCGACCGCGGGCCGCAGGGCTCACCGGGCGGCCGGCGTCCCCAGCGCGGCGTCCCCGAGCACGGGGCGGAGGGCGAGGAGGCCGCGGCGGCCCAACGGCGTCGGCACCCGAGCCTCCCCAGCCGCCGCCCGCGCCCGCGCTCACCGCCTCCGCCGCCACCGCCGCCGCCGCCGCTCCCCGCGGGCCGGGGGCGGGGCCGGAGTGGCGGCGCCGCCAGGCTCCACCCCCGCCGCTGACCAATGGGGCCCGCGCGCCCGCCCCGGGCCCCGCCCCTTCCGCCCGGCTGGGCGTGCGCACGCGGTTGACGGACAGGAGCTGGGCGGGCAGGCGGGGGCGCGCGCGCGCGCGCGAGTGACTGACGGGCGCTGGGAGGGCGCGCGGGCGCGAAGCCGAGGGGCGTCTAGCGGGCGGCGAGGGCGGGCGGCCTCGGTCTTCTCTGCCGGCCCGGCACGCGAGCCTGTGAAAGGCTTCGGCCCGGTTCCCTTTGTCAGCCCGCCTCCGGGCGCCGCAGGCTGGAGAAGGCGGCCTCCCATGGCCGGAGGGAACCTTCCAGAGCCTTCCAGAACCTTCACGTTCCTGAGGCGCCACGTGCTGCCGCGGTTCCCACGGCGCAGCCTCTGGGGGGCGGCCCGGGAAGCAGGTACCAGCGCGTGGGCCGGGCTGCGGGGTCGCGTCGCTTCTCTTCAGCTTAATCCCCCGGCGCTCGGCCAGGCGTGACCCTCAGCACGACGACACCGGAGCCTGTCGCCCCCAGACTCAACGTCCCGCTGCTGTCGGGGGTAGGGGGTGAGGGAGGAGGGGAGAGCTGACGCGGCGGGGGGGGGGGGAGCGTACCGGGCCTGAGGCCTGGGGGTCGGGGTTCTCACGGGGGAGGGGGGAGCAGCCACCCGAGGTGGGGGCGGGGGGCGGCGGCGGGGGGACGCGGGGGGCGCCGACTGCAACGAGGCGCCGCCGGGAGCTGCACGGCGGGAGGACGGAAGGCCCCTCCGCCGGGCGGCGTTCGCGAGCTCGGTGCCCGGGCCCGGCGGCGCCCTTCCAGGCCCAGTCAGGGCCTCCAGCGGAGGAGCCTCTGCTGCGCCGTCCGCTCGGAGGCAGCTCTGAAATCGCAGTTCAGTCGTAAATTTCGGGCCACAGACTCCGGGCCGCCTCGCCCGCTCGCTCCCGGCCGCGCGCGCCCGTCTCCGCGTTCGCTGCCGTGTCCCCGCCTGGCTGACCATCCGTGGACGGGCCTGGCGCGTCGTCTCGGTGACGGGCGTGAGCGCGGCCCGCCGGCCGGGAGCAGCCTGGCCCCCGCGGCCCGGCCCGGCGTCCCGAGCCTCCGACGGCGGCCTCGGGGAGGGCGCGGTCCCCCTGCCCACGCAGGGCTCGCGGCGCGGACAGCGCGGGGTCCCCTCAGCTTCCGGCAGCGGAGAGCTGGTTCCCCGAAGCAGGATGGGAACCACTGCTCTCAGTGCTCGAAGTAAGAGAAGGGTTCGTGATTCGGTTCCGGTAGGAGAGTTTTTAACTGATTCCGAGAAGGACGTACCTTCTTACAGAAGGTTCTCTCTTTTCTTTTAAATGTTTCATTTATTTCTAGGAGAGAGAGAGAGAGACAGCGTGAGCAGGGGAGGGTCAGAGAGAGAGGGAGTCACAGACTGAAACAGGCTCCAGGCTCTGAGCTGGCAGCACAGAGCCCAGCGCGGGGCTGGAACCCACAAACTGTGAGAACATGACCTGAGCCGAAGTCAGGTGCTTAACCGACTGAGCCCCCCAGGCGCCCCTATGTTTTTATGTTTTAAACAAATACACAAGTGACTGGTGACAGGGACTGGGCGTACGATCATGAGGAACCTTGCACTCAGGGAGCTCACAGTGTGATGGAGAAGACATGTGATAAACCGGTAGCAACAGGGGTACCTGGGGGGCTCAGTCAGTTAAACGTCCCAGTTCAGCTCAGATCAGGATCTCAGGTCGTGGGTTCGAGCCCGGCGTTGGGCTCTGTGCAGACAGCTCAGAACCTGGAGCTGCTTCGGATTCTGTGTCTCCCTCTCTCTGCTCCTCACCCCGCTGGCACTGTCTCCCTCTCAAAATATTTATAAATAAAGCATTTTTAAAAAATAGTAACAACAGGGGCACCTGGGTGGCTTAGTCCGTTAAGCGTCCGACTCTCGCTTAGGTCATGATCTCACGGTTCGTGGGTTCGAGCCCCGCGTCGGGCTCAGTGCTGACTGCCAGTGCAGAGCCTGGAGCCTGTTTCAGTCTGTGACTCCCTCTCTCTCTGACCCTCCCCTGCTCACGCTGTCTCTCTCTCTCCTAGAAATAAATAAAACATTTAAAAAAAATAGTAACAACAAACATCAAACCCCTTTTCAATTATTAACTTTATTTAACACAGGAATCCTAAAAGGGCAGTATGATAATTAACCCCGTTACTTTGGTTTTCACCAAATCACAAAGCAGCACAAAGCCTCTTACCCAGAACAACCAGTTTGGTACCTTCACGGGTCTGCAGCCTGGCCCGGGTTCAGCCACGGGTCCTCAGCTCTCGCCGGTGTTGACACGTGAGCTTGCATCCGGCTGACATGTCAGCTGGAGCGTCTCCGTGCGCTCTCGGGGCCTTTCCTGTCCGTGTGGGGTCTCCCCGTGCTCGCTCCAGCAGGGTGGCCGGCTGCTTACATGGCCGCTCAAGGTTCCCAGGAGCACAACCCATTTTACAGACAAGGAAACCCAGAGAGGAGAAGGTTGAGTCATCGTCCAAGGTGGAGCTAAGATTTGAAACAAGTCTAGCTCCAAAGCCCAGGCTGTTGAGCACTGCACCGTAAAATACGTTCAGATCCTGACGAAGCTAACGCAGCAGTAGTTCAGGGGCCCTGAGAGTGACAGTGACAACAGCGTTTGGAGCCACCAGGGTTCAGGAGATGGAAAGGGATCAAGGAAATGGCATTTAGCCTGAAAGCCTAGTTTATAAACGGTCTGGGAACTGAGAAAGAGCTTTTAGAGCTTAGGGGATTGAGCAAAGGCCCTGTGGTGGTGGAAGGCTCTACTTGACAGAGAAACTAAATGGTGCCTGGTGAGGCCAAGAACAAGGGTTAGGGAAAGCAGAGGGAGTCCCTCAAGGCTTGGGTGTGCCCTAGGAGGGTTTTTGATTGGGCTTAGTTTTGTTTTTTAAACTTATGTATTTTGAGAGAGAGATAAGGAAAGAGCATGCTTACTTGCTTGCATGCACGGGGGAGGGGCAGGGAGAGAGGAAAAGTGAATTCCAGGCACGTTCTTCTGACAGTGCTGAGCCCAGCACCAAACTGCATCTCAGGAACCGTAAGATCATGACCTGCGCCGAAATCAAGCATAGGACATTTAACTGACTGAGCCACCCAGGCACTCTGTTTTTGTCTTTGAGATTTTATTTTACTTTATTTTTCTAATACTTATTCATTCGTGAGAAAAATAGACAAGAGTGCAGGTTGGGGAGGGGCAGAGAGAGTTGGAGACACAGAACCCAAAGCAGGCTCCAGGCTCTGAGCTGTCAGCACAGAGCCCACACGGGGCTTGAACCCACGAGCGGTGAGATCATGACCTGAGCTGAAGTCAGATGCTTAACCGACTGAGCCACCCAGGTGCCCCCTAAGATTTATTTTTAAGGAATTTTTATACCCAACGTAGAGCTCGAACTTACAACCCTGAGATGAAGAGTCTGCCCTACTGACCGAGCCAGCCACGTGCCCCAAGAGGTTTTTGTTTTTTTCATGTGTAGTATTTTAAAATAATTATATGTACATCCTCCGAAATTTGCAGAATTAGTCCAGAGAGGTTCCTGGTACCTTTCTCTCTGCTTCCCCCAACGGCTATGTTTTGTGTGTCTGTAACGTAATATGAAAACCAGGACAGTGATGTGACATAGTGGCATGTAGAGCTCTGAGCCATCGTTTAATGCACAGACTCATGTACTCACCACCCCAGTCGACACACAGGGCATTCCCATCGCCACAGAGCTCCCTCCAGCGAACCCTGGTAGGCCCCCGCCACCCCCACAGCCACCCCTCGCCCCTGGGCACCACAAGTCGGCTGTCCATCTCTAGAACTCCCTCCGAGTGCTGTGTAGATGCAGCCACACAGCACAGAGCTTATGGAGATCGGCGTTCCCGCTCGGCACGTGCCCCGGAGACGTGTTCAAATCCACACGTGTGTCAGGAGTTCCTTCCTTTTTGTCTGAGTTGTGTTCCCTGCTGTGCACGTACCAGGTAATCTAATGCCATATATGCGTGGTTTCCAGGGATGAGCGTGAACATCTCTGGGGCCCGTCTGGCCCATGCAGAGGACCGAGGAGGAGCGGAGGCCACGTGTGCCCTGCCCCCCGCGGGCCCGGTCGTATCCACGCAGCTACAGCCTGCTGCAGGCGGGCTGGGAACGCTGTCCCCCCTCCAGGAGTCACGTGCCCAGTCACACATGAGGCTCCCCTACTTGGAGGAGAAGGGACACCGGAGGACAACTGGCAAACCTTCCCCGCAGAACCCGTCCACGCCTCACCCCACGGGTGGTTGAGAGGATTCCGTGGGCCCTTGCATGCGAGTGTCTTGCGCGGTGCCTGGCACAGCGGGCGCCTGGTGAGCCCAGAAGGCTTAGTTTTAGGGAGGCAGGTGCTGGGGGGCGGACAGAAGACCTGAGTACTTGGGTTGGCTCTGCTCCTGGGGCACATCACCTGTGACTCTGTTTACCCGCCGTGAGTAGGGGAGACCACACTGAGTGTCTCCCTGTGGTCCGCGCCCCTTTTGCTGTAGCCGCAGTGG